ATTTTTTACTCAAATAAATTCTTACAATCATATGCTGGTTCCTATGACTATTTATTGATGATTATTTCTGGGTTATATAAACATCTTTATTATCAGCATGTAAATCTTGTTTTAAAAGCATTGGAAAGTGTGAGCAATATAAAAATGAATTCTATTTGTGTTTCTGGTTTAAATTCCTATTAGTGATTAATTGTGATGCAATTGTTCACATAAGTACAAAATCTAATCATTTCCTTTCTTAAGATCCATAAAGTATATGAGATTATAGAAATCTTTAGAAATACAAATTTTGTTCAGAAATTGGATTTTATTTTAAAAGATATGTTCCTAAATACAAAATGTATTTTAGGAGTTATCTTAAGTTTAAAAAAACATAATAATTAACTTTCATTATTTTTTTAAAAAATAGAATGCATTGCAAAATGTTTGCTAATAGAAATACATAAATTTTTATTTACCTAACCTGTTATTTCATATTGTAGTATAGAATCAATTTTTTTGAAGTACAAATTTGATTTTCTGTGAAATTAGTAGCATAGTTTACTTCAAAAGTCAGAAGATATTTAAAGGTAGTATTTCCAATTCAAACAGAATTTTGTAAGGTATAAATTTTTCACAAAACACTGAAATACCTTTTTTTAAAAGCTTTGCTTCAAAATGTTTAAAACAGCATCAAGCATTCTACAGATACAGATTTTGAGAGTACACCAAACTCTTTCAATAAAGATAATTGCTTTGTCATTTACTCCATTCAGAACCCCACAATCTCATTTTCACCTGAAATAATTGTATTCAGGTTTTCTCAGCAGGTAAAGCACACATTCTTCGTTTCTTACAAGGTTTCATAGTTCAGAATTCCAATTATGCTTTTAAACTGAATCGCCTTCCCTTCTGTGTGTGTTGTTGGGTTGTGATGGGGGTTGCCTAGTATCTTGTAATTCTGTTATTTAGTCTAAATTTTAGTCTTTTTAACTCCCAGAAATACCTTAGTGAACCCTCAGCAGTTGCTAACCACTTAATAATCGTGAACCAGCCAGCCCATTCAAGTATATTGTTAACCACAAGAGTGCCTGACAATTTCCAAACCATATCCTCTATCCTAAAGGAAAAGATAGGGCTTTGTGAGACCGAAAGGAAGGGAAGGAAAACAAAACAAATGTAGCTCATGCTGAAAGTGAAAAGTGCCTGGACAGATTAGTATTTTCTTTTCTACAAGGCATTCTGCCAATTTTATTTTTTTTTAAATAGAGAAGAGTTATTTTAGGTGGTCTGATTTTTCAGTTTCTTGTAAAGTGTATTTACCACTCCCACTAGCCCCTCATAATTACTGTTTTGTTTTGTTTTTTTCACATCGGTCAACATCACAGACTAATGATAGCCTTGTCCTCACCCTGTCAAAACTCTAACTCTGGTCTTGGAATCTCCGGCGACTCTGGACGACACGTCCCACTCTTTCCTTCTCACGCCTCTCATTTAAGTCTCGAGATCCCCAACTACAGTTTCAGTGAAAGCCGGAAATTTTTATTTAAACTCCCCTTTCTCGCCCCCTGCTCAGTGCTGAGCGCTGAGGAGCAGAGAAGCTCTGAGCACAGCCGGGTCTCGGCCGCCTCCACTCCCTCCGGAAGGCTTTAATTTGCACACTTGCTTGCCAGTGCGCCGCGAGCCCCCAACCCCCGGTAGGTCTCCGTCAGGGTGGCTTCCCGAGTCCCCGTCCCAGCCCCCACCGTGCGGCCACCCCTTCTGCCTCCAGGGTTCGGGCCGCGACTTCCAGTCGGAGCTCCACTGCCCCCGTCAGCCCCGGGCAAGCGGAGCAGGCGGCGCCCTCCGCCGTCCCTCCGCCCTCCGCCGCTGTGCCCACCCCCTCGCTGGAGAAAGTGCTGGTAACTCCTTCCTCGATCTGTGTTACCTGCTCCACGCGGCCGTGGATAAGTGTGGAGGTCTGACGGATACACGAAGGCCCCTTAGGAAGCCGGACGCGGCTGGGTCCTTAAGGTGAGAAGCCTTGCGCTGGGGTGGGTGGGCTGCAGGGTGGGGGGTCCCGAAGGAGATTTGGAGGCTTGGCTAGGGTAGAAGGCGGGGTGGGGGTGGAGGTCAGAGTGGGGGTGCTGTGGCCGCCGACATGTCTGTGGTTAACCCCTTCGGAACCAAAGCAGGGTAGTTTATGGAGGCCAGTTTGGGGCAGTTTTGGAGGCCCTCTTAATCTAACATGAGGGGGACATCGCACCAGATGGACACCTCCCAACAGCAAGATCCTTACCTTACAAACACCCTCATATACACATGCTCTTTCTCCAACTTCTACAAATGGAACTACACTTGGACACCAGTATAATCCATATTTAGTGTTTAAAATGCACTGCCTCTGGGGACTCCATGCGGGAGAATGTTTCCCTGCCGCATTTTATTTCCCCACGAAAGCACCTCCAGCTAGCAGATGTATGGGTGTGGACTTCACCTTCTCCACTACAAGATTAGTTTTAACTCAGGCTTCCTGCTGGCAACCCCTGAAGACGTATTATGCACACTTAAATGAGTGTGTGCTGCGGACGAGTACCCCATACTTGGATCCCCATGTGGTCATACTTTTGCTTTAGTATCCACGTTTAGTTTTTTTCATTTAAAATATCGCAGTTAAAACGCATGCCCGGCGGTGAGCTGTTCCTAGGTCCAGCGCGCCTGTCCGTGTGCACGTGGGCGCATCTACGTGTGCGCACATGCCTCGTTCGCGGTCCCCGATGCGGCCTCTTGTCGCTGCGCTGGTGGCGACCCTCGCAGTGCTTGGCAGACTACGGGAGAAGCACATGAAGGATTTCATTGAGTGTGAAGACAGAGAGCAGAGACAGAAAGCAGAAGGAGGCGGCTGCAGCCTTTGTAGTCGCGGAGGAATGCGGAAATGTTGAAGCACTATGTCAAACTTTTTTGAAATGGGGTCAAGTCACATTCAGCCAGCGTGGGAAAGCAACAACAGCAAAAAAAAAAAAAAAAAAGTGGAGGAGAAAGAAAGGCACTGCTGCTCGCGTTTCTCTCAGACTGGGCCAACCGTCCAGGGAGTGAGGGGGGGAGAGCCTAGGAGAGGGCTGCAGGCGGTGCGGGGCCAGGCGGGGGCGGCGGACGCGGTTCCTGCGGGGGGTGGGACTCCACTCGACGCGTCCTTTGCAGCAGACATCAGACTGGACTTGGGAAGGGGGACTCCGAAGGGTGGACTGAGCTGCCGGCGGTAGCGCCCTTGCTACCTGTGTGGCCCTTGCCCTCCCGCAGACCCCCTGGCCAGGCTCTAGAGCTTGTCCCTTGGTTTCCCCAGGATTCGCCTTCAGCATTTTAAGAAAAGCTCTAGACAGCCAGAGCTCTGGACTGCCCTCGTCATGGTCCCATCTGCACATCGTGGGGTCGCACCGTTTGTTTTCTTAAGTTCCCAGCCGAAGGCTAGCGGGCCAGCGGTTGCGGGAAGGCAATTCCGAGGTGCCCTGGGAATTCCAGACACGCGGCTGGCGTGGCGAATTCTGACTGCGGCTGAGGCTGCGGTAGGGAGGAACTCGGTCTTGGATCACTGCAGAATGGGGAGGGAAATTGGGGGCCCCCTCCCCGTCCAGCACTTTGTTGTGCCGATGTTCCGGGGTACATCTGGCTACAGACTGGAACGGGCCTCAACCCGAAAGAGGACTGGCGCAACCCGTTTCCATTACCTACATGGCGAGGGACAGCCCTTGGACTAGGAAAAAATCCGCTTGTCTAAATCCCTAGAGCGCAAAAATTTCCTTCTAATCCCCGGAGGCGCAACTCTTCTGCCCAGTTTGGAGGAGAGGTTGAGTTTTGCTCAGGTTTAAGTCAGATGAAAATTTTAGGGCGAGTCATAACCTTTCTTCTGCAATTATTTTTTAAGGAGGCAAAAGTGTCTCCCACCCACGGGGTCCCGTGGATGGACTGCCCACCCCCTGAGTAGCGGAAGCCCTAGCCCTCCTAGACCTGATGATTTGTCCTCCCTGGGTCTCCACCAGGAAGTCTTCTGAGGTTAAAAAAGAATTTCGTTTTCCAATGAGACTCCTTTACCCCAATACACTATTTGTGTACGCGAGTCTTTTTTTAAATGTCTCGTAGAAAAACTGAAAGTAGAAAGGAAGCAATTTCCGAGCAGATGTCTGACCACCCCTTCTCACATACTCCTAGCATCGGGTTACAGAGTCTTGGGAGCGCCCCCCCTCACATTCTGCAGCCCCACACGGGTGGACCCCCAGTTTTCCTACACTGACTTGTGCATTACCCCGATCGTCTCCGGGAACTCCCGACCCCCCTTTTCATGCACGTCCAGGCTCCGGGAGTTGGAGAACGTAGCAGTGCAGCACAATGATAATAGGGATAAATATTAAGCCATGACATTGGCGTGCCCAGCGACTCCCCTCCCCCGCGCTCCCGGCACACTCTGGGCTGCTTGGCACGCCCCCTCCCGTTCCACTGCGCCCTGCGCAGCGCGATCATCCCCGAGGGGCCCCTGCAACCTCCGCGCAAAGACCGCTCCAGCTCTGCAGGGGAAGAAAAGTAACTTCGCTTTTCTGGGAGGAACCAGGAAGGATTAAGCGGCCTGAGAGTGGGCAGGAGAGCGCGGCGGGTAGCGATGGGGGCTTCGTGAAGGAGGAGGAGGGGAGACTGCAGGCACCCGGAGGAAGGCGACTGGGATGTCTGATTGCACTTTTTTCTTATCCCACCATCTCCTCTTTTAGGTGAAGTGATTTTGGACTGTGAAGCGCTTGGGCAGAGACTATGTAATCGCCTTGGTGTCTTAGCAGAGGACTCTACTTCGGGGAGGAAAGGAGGGATCGGCTTGCTGTTTTAGCTACAGCGAGTCGGCAGGCGGAGTTTCGTGGCGGCGGTATCAGGGTTGCGCCCGCCCGAGGGGAGGTCGCTCCATCCAACCCGGCGGCCGCGAGAGCCAGAGTCCCGGAGAGGGTGAGGGAGAACGAGACCGATCGCCGGGGTGCGATAAAGTGATCCCCGAGCAATAGCCACTAGCGAGCCGAGCGCTCTCCCTACCCACTGCAGCGGCACCACCGCACCGGCGGTGCCTAGGACGGCATGGAGAAGGACAGCCTGAGCCGTGCGGACCAGCAATACGAGTGTGTGGCTGAGATCGGGGAGGGCGCCTATGGGAAGGTGTTCAAGGCCCGGGACCTGAAGAACGGAGGCCGTTTCGTGGCGCTGAAGCGCGTGCGAGTGCAGACGGGAGAGGAGGGCATGCCGCTCTCCACCATCCGCGAGGTGGCGGTGCTGAGGCATTTGGAGACCTTCGAGCACCCCAACGTGGTCAGGTGAGTGAGTGGGGAAACGGTGCCCGAGCTGTTCTGGCTGCATGCCTGGAGAGAGTCGAGGGGGCCTCAGGTCTAGAAGGGTGTGGGGTGGGGGCAGTCGCTAAGGAAGCCCGGCGCGATCCATGAACCTTACAGAATTCGAGTAAAATTTGCCGACAGCTCCTGTGAGTGACCTTGCCAGACTGCAAGCAGAAAGACCTGTTGGAAAACGTGACCTGCGCAGGCTTCTCTGCTGGTGTGCAAGTTATATTTTCTCCTTGGGTGCGCTGAAGGGGAGTTCGGGAAATTGAGAACAAACCAACCTGAAACACACACATCCTCCTGCCCCTGCACTGTTTCCCCCACTTCTTCCCCTTCCCCATCGTTGGGGAATTTTTGAGAATCTCAGTGAGAGGTAGTGCTGTATGCGGTGTAGTAACTAGTAAGAAGACGACTTCACTAATGTTGTTTAAAGTTTTAAAAATGCAGAAACTTTCAAGAATGTATTTGATAATTACACTCCCAAACCAAATCTTGGAGTTTGTCTGTATCAAAGAAGTGTACTTTGAAAGTGATTCCTGAGGCCTCCTGAGGAGTCTCTGCATTACATAAGACTATAGGTGGAACCCTGAACCCCATCCAGAATCTTCTGAGGTGGGAAATTTCCACTTGAAAGGACAAGCAGACCAGCTTGGAGTGGCTAGAAGATACTTCTTCTGGGAAAATATAAAACAATTTAGGCAGTCCGACCTATTACTACAAGAACAAACAAGTTGCTTGCCTAGGAGACATCAAGGCAAGTGATTAGGTCCCTTCAGGGAAAACCCCCTTCCAAGACTAAGACTCAATGGGAATACATGCTCTGATTGGTGACCACGTTCATCACAGATAAGGGGAAGTGAGGGGAAAACAGAAATGAAGCTGTGAGCTAAGTCCTACAACATTCAGTAGACACCTGTGAACCCCGGTGGAGACCTGGTTGGCCAGCAGTGTGGCTAGACCTGGGAACTCTTCGGCCCAGAGTCAGTGACATAGCTACAGAGGACTAGAATGGAGAGTGAAGCTCCAGCTGATAAAAAGAGAGGGCACATGCATAAGTACACTTGCAGATAATACCCACTTGACCTGGCTTCAATGACTGGATGATCAGAGCTCAACTAGAAGAAAGAAGAGGGGAAAAAAGAGTAGTCTGATACAATTTGATGAACTTGACCTACACCTATGGATGCAGTAGTTCAAAAAAGGGAACAAATCTTTACAGCAAGGATCATTTCCACCCCCTCCATACACAGAGTAGACAGGGATGGGCAACTTGGACATTGGCTACCCAAAATGGGGGCGCTACAAAGGCAAGAAGTGACTGGCTTACAAGCTTTCAAGAAGGAGCCTAGATTCAGAGGATGTGGAGGAAGGTAGAATCTCCACTGAGTAGTATCCAAGCTGTCTGGATGAAAGGAGATGTGGATAGGTCTCTTGTGATACAGTAATGAATAATTGTTATCAGGACTGATTGTGAGGGTTGGAAATGTAAAGGTAGATATTTTGTAGCAAAAGGAGGGGAGTGGTTGACTTTGCAGTCTAGAAGCGGAGGTCCCTGGGTCCCATCAAGGTAGAAGAGTGGAGAGCAGGACCCTACCCAGAGAAGCAGTGACACCAGAGATGGAGGCAGAGACAATGACATGGAGAGATGGAGTGGCCGGGGACTTTAGACCCAGAGAAGGGGGCTGTGTGCTGATGACCCGGGGAGCAGGCTTACCAAGTATACCCTTTGGTGGTTTGATGATGCATGGAGGGGATTGTAACCATGGCAATGAAAGATATAAGATAGGTCGAATATAAAGCTAATGTTCTTCCATGTAAACTATCACATAATTCACAATAAAACATTTAAGAAAAAAAAAAAAAAAGTGATTCTTGAGCTCCAAGGGGCTTCAGTGTTAATGCCCAGTTGCAAACAGCATTTTTAAAATTTTTTCTTCAGAAAATGTAACCGTCTTGTCATTATTACCCTATATCTCTGGTTTAGCAGAGTTCCTAAGTTTCTTCGAAGGGTTACATGTGAGTCCAAATTGGGATAGCTTTAGATTCTTCCTGATGCCCTTGCTTTTCCTAGGCTGGTTATACAGTTGGGTGAGTGTAATTTACGATTTATGATGCTTTCTTAGTGGTCCTGGAATTTCTCCATCATGTGGGTTGTCATCTCGCCCCTTTCTCTTTTTTTGTTTTTAATTTTATTTTATAAAGATGTTTCTATATTTGGGTTAATGATACCCACTTTTTTAGGTTCCAAAGACCTAATAGTCATTCTGTGAAAATTCAGTGTTATATAAAAATGGAGGATGACTACATCATTACATAACAGCAAACCACTGAGAATCATGACCCAGCCAAGTTTACACATACCTTTTACTATCACAGCCTGTGTTATTCTTGCCTAGTATCTTTAGCATTCATTACTGCCAGATGTCGTTAATGTGGAAAATAATTGGATGGCAAATTTTTTTTTACAATTTTCTTAAGTGCAAAATGTCATTAAATAAGATAGTCAATAAGTAATGAATAGGTATATTAAACTACTATGTTGGAAAAAGAATCACTTGGGTGGGTGTTGGGGGGGGTCTTGGTTTTCTCATCCATTTAGAGATTCTGTTCCACAGATACGTGTCTGTTGTGTGCACTGTGGATGAAAATTAGTACAACCAAATATTTTCACAAAATGTCAAAACAATTTAACATTAGTCATCAATGTGGAGAGACTTAAGACTGATCTTTGAAATACCAAGCCTTCTAGAGACTCAAGGAGCCCAAATGTCTAGAGAGTCTTCCTGGGAGGTTTTAACTTGTCTTCTCCTATCCAAGCTGGGTGATTTGTGTGGTGCTTTGTTCCCAAGATAGACTCAGCCTAGAAGGCAGCAAAGAATCATAAATATATAAATAAGGTGATAAATGGTTATAAAGATACACTCGAGTGTTGTTCCGCTTTAGCTAGTGTAGGAGGTAAGAACAAGAGATAATACCATTGGAATAATGAGTATTTTAGGAAGATGGGATTATATAGAGCAAGATTTCCTTTTTTGGGGGGTGAGGGTGGGATATATGTTTTCTTTGCTGACAAGCAACAAAAATCTTGTTTGAAAGTCTATGTAATATTGGATAGAAAAAGGAAGAGTACAATTACTCCTCCCAACATTCCCACTTCCAAATGCATTTCACCACTAGAGTTTTAAGAAAAAAGTTTTTATTTTGTCTCTTACCTATGGAGTATTCAATTAAGAGTAAAGTAACACCATTGTTTACAAAGCAGGATCTCTTTTTGTAACAGAAAAAGTGTGAGTTGTTTTTTTCACATTGTGCTGGTAGATTTAGGATGATCTCTCTTGATTTATCCTCTTGAGATTTTTGCGTTTTTTGAGATTTGTCCTCTAGAGAGATCTAGTTTACTTATGAACTGCCAGGAAGACATGCTTCTGAATTGAAGACAGACACATCATTTTCTAAAGTTATTTTTGTAAGTTACATGCCAATGAGGATACTTACCTTAGACAGTTGTCATGAAGATAAAGTGAGATAGTGAATATGAAAGCACTTTGTAAAAATAAAGTACAAGCAGTCCCTGGATTACCAATGCCTGACTTACTCTGTTGTTGTGGCCTAACCTCCCCAAAACCTGTTACATTAAAAATTTGAGCTACACACAGTGAATGGATGGTACTTTGTGAAGCGTATAAAACATTATTATTACTGTATTATTGTTTACTGATGTTTTTAATATATCTGGAAGTGTTTCTTTTAATACTTTTTTTATATATACATAGAAAGGTACACTGTATACCAAAGCAAACATTTGACTAACTGATGTCAGATAAGAACTGTACCTACCAACTTCCATACAAATTCAGTTTAAAGACTGATTTAGAAATAGAGCTAATTTGTAATCTGGGAACTGCCTTTACTTCAAAGGTTTTATTATTATTTGTATTTAGGCTGATTAGTGGTGCTGTTGGCCTGGAGCAAGTTTCCAGTATGGCTTCAGTTCACCTGACCTTTTTACAGAACAAATCACAGACTAACCCAGACAGTGAAGCCTCCTGAACTGAAAAGCTTTGTCGTATTAATAGCTTTTAGTTAGTTAAAGAACACTATAGTTATCTGCTATAACGTTCAGTAACACTTGAGGGTATTATCAGTAATGATGTCACACTTAGGAACTTACAGGTCTCCATACCCTTCTGCTTTCTTCCTTTCTCTGTCATTTACCCCTAGGACTTGCTTTGCCAGTTTTAGAGGTAGCTGATTCTTAGCCTAGCAGGGCCAGGATATTAAGGGCAGGTCATAACAATTCTTTAATTTCCAAGGAGCATTGTCAAAAATTGGTCCCCCAAATCTGTGATTTATTGTTGGCCCACAATATCAGTTTTATAGCTCTATGCCTGGCTCTTTAAAGGTTTCTTAAAATGGCAAATGTCTTTATAAATGCCTTCAAGTCACAACTAACTGGTTTTAATTATAGGCTCTCCTCACAAACAGTTAAGCTTCTAAGAATGAAGGGAACATAATAAACACATTAGTTTTTCTCAAATGTGTAAAATTTAATTTGGATGGAGTTGCCAGAAAAGCTTGCTTGTTACTGCTAGCATTGGTGTTGCTTACATGCATAGGAATGATGGCTTGGAACTCTTGCTTACCTACACTAGTGTTCTGAACTGATCCTTCTTGATTTATTCGTGTCTGATGATGCAAAACCAGAACAGACCCCGATTTATAAAATGTGGGTGAACCTGAATGGTAACCACACCAGAACTGGGTCGATACCTTGTTAGAAGCTGTATGTTCCTACTAGAAAACGTGAGTAGCAGATGTGTTGCATGGCAACCAATCTCTGGAACAGCAGAATCAGAAACAGTGATGCCCTGCTCAATGGTAGCAGCCATCTGTGCTGATTTGAATACGTGTTACTCTTCACAGTCCTGTCCACAATAGTCTCCCTCATCCAACTCCTGGAAAGGCTCTGAGTCTCCCAT